GGTAGAGCTTCTGTTCGGGGGGAATATCAGAAGGACAACGATACAGTTGTTTCCAATGTTGTAGAAAGCACGCCACTTACTGAGGAAAACAATAACCCACTGACCTATTGTATTCATGTCGAAATGATATTTTCAGCCCCTGTCAGATCTGAACTTGAACATGCGAAGTCTGTGTCTGTGTCAGACTAAAGGCCTACAAGATGTTTAGCAACACTGGGGCGTAATAGCCATAGATCTTCTCCAAACAAGGGAATATATATCTTGTGAGAATGACTTCTCAGACAGGGAAATTTACAGCAATGCGACACCACACTTACTTACGTGATATTTTCTCGCAATTTGAGTTATGGATTGTCAATTTAAACAGGACAATATAGACGAATTTCACAAAAGGCAACATGCCTATGACATACTCAGAGAACGCACCCGCCTGTGCTATCCGGTCATAGTCGCTACATGATAAATACAATTTTTCATTTCATGTCTCACAGAATATATACTTTGATATGGCATTGTTTGTTATCGTATACTTTTGGGTTAGTAAACAAATGTGGATAACTGTAATGTTTATGTATGGCGTTATTACAGCAAAAGCTGAGTGAATGGAGAAATAACATGGTTCAGGCACTGTGAGACTATTAAGGAAGGTCTCATGCAGTGCAATAAAATTCCAATTATGTACTGCCAAAGAACCTTACGGTAGTGATGCGCGAGCTGAACAGACGTGTGGTGTATTTGGCTGTGATCCAAAAGAGACAAAGTGTTATTCTATCGGGACAGATAGGGACACTTGCGAGGACAAAGGGGCAACGCATCGCCCTTTGTTCACCACTGAACCTTTTAATCCCTCGAAACATGCACCTCACAAGATTTGCCAACACCACAGACATGGCGTAACTGATACTGGTAGCAAGAGCGAATGCAGCTTAATAAGGCGTGTTAGCTTGCGTAATACTGCTTTCTTTGTCAGGCTCTTTTGGTGATAAGAATATTGAGGTCATGTGAACGTTGATTTCAAACGTACTAAAATGTGTGAAAATGAAAATGATGGAAACATATGCTCATCTTGCTTGAGCACAGGTAACATGAAGGTGCATGAACCGTTCATATACATACCCCTGAAATCCGGTATGATACATACATATCTAAGGTGTGTAAATATTTGCAAATTTGCAAATTTACATGTGTTTCCCCAATTAAGTAAATTCACATGTTTCCAACCCGAGTAAACTTAGAACGAAATCGGAAATTTCAGCACCCATTGAAATTCAAAGGAATGCATTGGAAATACTGTATGATCATGTATTTACCGGGGTATCTGTTTTGAAATTCATGTTTGGAAATCCCTGACAATCCGATCAGGGCATACATGAACGAGGTGCTTGTGCATGCGAAAATGTACGATGAGCATATGTTTCAAAGGTATAAATTCATATGAAATATATGCCCGAAGTTAGGAAATATCTGAAAACATACGTAAATCCGGTCATGGCATGTATTTGCTACTGTATTTACGATTGTTTCAATGGTTTACTATCCAGCTTTTGGTCCTGTCAGAGTCACGGTCAAGCATGTCTTGCTAGACTGTCAAATTCTCCTCATAAGGGATAGATATTTTAATGTGAAAACCGTTAAGGACCTTTTAAACACTGTTAATTTCCATTTAATTATTGTTTTTTTAAAAGAAATTGCTTTAATTGAAGAATTTTGATTACTATGTTCTGTAGATAGGTGTGTTTTAATGATTGGTAGTTTTGATTAGTAACTTAGATTGTTAATGGCTGTATCCTCCAAGGGGGTTAAAAAATCGTAAAATTATTGTCCCCCCTGAGAGGGTACGAAAGACCAAAAACGTTCAAGTAAAATCTAAACATACCAATTTTTTTTAAACGTAGCATTGTTATTTTAATGTTCGGCTAAATTTTCCTACAATCGCCAGTGGCTGAGGGGATGGTGTCAATCAAGCTAGGTTCCATGCAGGTAGCAAAGGCACTGAAAGTCCCCATGGCCCCTAGTATGGTGATCTATCTTCTGTTGTTGGCAGTCTATAGCCCATTTTTACATTGTATTGTCCAAAAATAATTTTCTAATATATGCTAGCTAGATTTAACTCAATCTGTGATAATCTAGTAATTTTACTGTCCTTCGTTGACAGGGTTTTATATATTATATGTATGTTTTATTAATTAAGAAGTAGTTATTGTCACGATATGGCTGAAATATTGCCGATATGACTTTAAATCTTCACTCACTCACTCACTCACTCACATCTTAGTTTTGAAATAGGCTGGCGCTTAACTTTTTATTCTCGGTATACTTTTGACATGTCTTTCACTAGAAACGACAATCTCTGATGAACTCTTAGCAATTAACAAAAAGGCCACTACAATTGACGGGAAAATAGATTGTATAAATACTCGAACCAAGATTGCAGCGACAGACAATGCGAACTTGTCAACAGACAAGCTGAGTCCGACATATGCAACAATGGTCCAATCACCTGCTAGCCCGAGCCCGAGCTTGCGCTCTGATCTCCACCCGGACTCGCCTATTGTTTCCCCAGCCAGTAATACCCAACTAAGCGTGACACCTCAAATTCAGGTACAAGCAGATAATCATCATGTACTAACACAGATGAAAGTGAGGATATCCAATCAAAACAAAGCGACTACACAACGTCGCATTGTCTTCGATACACGCTGGAAAAGAGCATTTCGTGGATCAGTTAAAGTGAAGACTAAGACTCTAGTACTATCATATGTCAGTGTTGATGAACAATTTGAAACAGTGCAAGATGCCATCTGTGACTATGCACAACAACGAAGTGTTAACATCACCCACACCCAGCTTCTCAAACACTGGAAGGGCGATAGCCCCACCTTCACCATCCGTATCAACGCGTCTGAAGATGATGCCAGAAAGATAACCCAAGACAGCAAGTTTTGGCCAGATGGAGTGAGATGCAGAGAATGGGTTCCAAGCAAAGAAAGGTATGGAAACGATTATAAGTCGACATGATTAATATGAACATGACATCATTTATACCATTGACTTTTCTTCTCATCACTTTCCACTTACTCACCTGGAATGTGAGAGGAGTTATGTACGGAACAAACTATCTTACAGAACAACTAAGAACATGTGATATTGTCTTTGTACCCCTCCAAACACCAGTACACTCTACCCCTCCATACAGCAGTACACTCTACCCCTCCATACACCAGTACACTCTACTCCTCCATACACCAGTACACTGTACCCCTCCATACACCAGTACACTGTACTCCTCAATACACCAGTAATTTGTACACTTCAATACACCGGTAACCTGTATCCCGGTCACTACCAGTAATTTGTATTCTTCCATACACCAGTAACCTGTACCCCCGTCACTACCAGTAACTTGTACACTTCCATACACTAGTACACTCTACCCCTCCAAACACCAGTACACTCTACCCCTCCATACACCAGTACACTCTACCCCTCCATACAGCAGTACACTCTACCCCTCCATACATCAGTACACTGTACCCCAGTCACTACCAGTAATTTGAACACTTCTATACACCAGTAACCTGTACCCTCGTCACTACCAGTAATTTGTACTCTTCCATACACCAGTAACCTGCACCCCCGTCACTACCAGAAATTTGAACACTTCTATACTCCAGTGACCTGTACCCTCGTTACTACCAGTAATTTGTACACTTCTATACAATAGTAACCTGTACCCCCGTCACTACCAGTAATTTGTACACTGCTATACAATAGTAACCTGTACCCTCGTCACTACCAGTAATTTGTACACTTCTATACAATAGTAACCTGTACCCCCGTCACTACCAGTAATTTCTACACTTCCATTCACCAGTAACCTGTACCACCGTCACTACCAGTAATTTCTACACTTCTATACACTTCTGTCCCCTCCTTACACCAGTAACCTGTGCCCCGTTACTACCGGTGCGCACTGTCATTATCTATACACCAGTAACCTGTGCCCCCGTCATACCGGTACACTGTCCCTCCTTACACCGGTAACCTGTATCCCCGTCACTACCAATTTTTACTGTAAACGCTCCTATACCATCCTACCGGTACATCCAGGTACCACCTGTATACCCCAGTCACTACCAGTACACTGTCACTTCTACATACACCAGTAACCTGTATCCCCGTCACTACCAGTACACTGCCCCCTCCTTACACCAGTAACCTGTACCCCCGTCACTACCAGTACTTTGTGCACCTCTATATACCAGTAACCTGTACCCCCGTCACTACCAGTAATTTGTACACCTCTATACACCTGTAACCTGTATCCCCGTCACTACCAGTACACTGTGCACCCCTATATACCAGTAACCTGTACCCCATCACTACCAGTACACTGTCCTCTCCATACACCAGTAACTTGTATCCCCGTCACTACCAGTACACTGTCCTCTCCATACACCAATAACCTGTAGCCCCATCACTACCAGTACACTGTCCTCTCCATACACCAGTAACCTGTACCCCCGTCACTACCAGTAATTTGTACACCTCTATACACCCGTAACCTGTGCCCGTAACCACACTACCAGTACACTGTCCCCTCCTGTACCCCATCACTACCGGTACCTGTCACTCCATACCGTGCTATTCCCCATCCACACTGTGCACCCTATATACCGGTAACCTGTGCCCCATCACTACCAATTACACTGTCCTCTACATACACCAGTAACTTGTATCCCCGTCACTATTCCATCCCTGCCTTCCACCGGTACACTGTCTTCCTGTCCCTCCATACACCTGTAACCTGTGCCCCCGTCACTACCGGTACATTTGTACACCTCTATATTTACCAGTAACCTGTACCCCCGTCACTTTCAGTGAATTTGTGCACCTCTACACCTCTAACTGTATATGTGTTCCCCGTACATTCCACCGGTACACTGTGCTACCACTGTACTGTGTACCCTGTCCCGCAATAACCTGTATCCCCATCCTACCAGTACTGCTGCTGTCCTCTGCCACTGTGCCGTTACCAGTAACCTGTACCCCCGTCACTACCACGGTGCTTTGTACACCTCGCCACCAGTAACCTGTGCCACTGTCGGTACCTCCATACACCAATACGTCTGCACCAACCTGTATCCCCATCACTACCAGTACACTGTCCTCTCCATACACCAGTAACCTGCTTGTATTCCGTACTACCAGTGGTTGTACACTTTCATACACCAGTAACCTGCGACCCCGTCACTCCTGTCCAGTAATTTGTACACTTCCATACACCAGTAACCTGTACCCCGTCACTAACGGTAATTTGTGAACTTCAATTACACCAGTAGCCTGTAGCCCCGTCACTACCAGCACTTTGTACTGTGCCTCTATGCCACCGGTAACCTGTACCCACGTCACTACCAGTAATTTGTGTCTCCATTTCCATACACCAGTACACTGTACTGTGCCTGTGCCCTCCATACACCTGTGTGGTTGTGTACACTCCTCAACCTCCTCCATACATCATGGTCACTCTGCCCTCCATACGCCCTCCATGCACCTACACCCTAGCCCTCCATACACCAGTACGCTCTACCCCTCCATATACCAGTACACTCATACACAAGTACACTGTATTTCTCAATACACCAGTAACCGGTACCCGAGTCACTACCAGTAATTTGAACACTTCTATACACCAGTAACCTGTACCCTCGTCACTACCAGAAATTTGAACACTTCTATACACCAGTGACCTGTACCCTCGTCACTACCAGTAATTTGTACACTTCTATACAATAGTAACCTGTACCCCCGTCACTACCAGTAATTTGTACACTTCTATACACCATACTTCTGTACACTTCTGTCCCCTCCTTACACCAGTAACCTGTACCCCGTTACTACCAGTACACTGTCCCCTCTATACACCAGTAACCTTTACCCCCGTCACTACCAGTACACTATCCCCTCCATAAACCAGTAACCTGTATCACCGTCACTACCAGTACACTGTCCCCTCCTTACACCAGTAACCTGTATCCCCGTCACTACCAGTGCATTGTGCACCTCTATATACCAGTAACCTGTACCCCGTTACTATCAGTACACTGTCCTCTACATACACCAGTAACCTGTATCCCCGTCACTACCAGTACACTGTCCCCTCCTTACACCAGTAACCTGTACCCCCGTCACTACCAGTACTTTGTGCACCTCTATATACCAGTAACCTGTACACCCGTCACTACCAGTACACTGTCCCCTCCACACAGCAGTAACCTGTACCCCGTCACTACCAGTACTTTGTGCACCTCTATACACCAGTACCCTGTACCCCGTCACTACCAGTACACTGTCCTCTCAATACACCAATAACCTGTACCCCCGTCATTACCAGTACACTGTCCTCTCCATACACCAATAACCTGTATCCCGTCACTACCAGTACACTGTCCCCTCCATACACCAGTAACCTGCACCCCGTCACTAGCAGTACACTCTACCACTCCATACACCAGTAACCTGCACCCCTTCACTACCAGAACATTGTCCTCTCCATACACCAGTAACCTGCACCCCGTCACTACCAATATACTGTCCTCTCCATACACCAGTAACCTGCACCCCTTCACTACCAGTTCACTGTCCTCTCCATACACCAGTAACCTGCACCCCGTCACTACCAGAACACTGTCCTCTCCAGACACCAGTAACCTGCACCCCGTCACTACCAGTACACTGTCCTCTCCATACACCAGTAACCTGCACCCCGTCACTACCAGTACACTGTCCTCTCCATACACCAGTAACCTGCACCCCGTCACTACCAGAACGCTGTCCTCTCCAGACACCAGTATTGCTTCCGGTAAGGGTTGATAACCCAAAATGTCAAAATCGTTCAACCTCAATATCTCCCAAACTATAAGAGATAAATGGACCAAATTTTCACTCAATGTAGACAACATCACTCTTCTTTGATTCAACGCATAGCGAAAGTTGGCCGCAATGATGGATTGTCCGCAATTTTGAAAAAAACTGAAATTTTGGTCGATTTTCGCATGTTAACGGTGCCTGTGTTTAACGATCTTCTCCAGAACGGCATACAGTACAATCGCGTTCGATACGCCGTTGGAAAGTCCATACTCCGGACAACTTAAACCCTTCAAGGCATGTTGATATCTTGAACAGCTTTGGAGTTATCTCCCTTGGATGTTGGTAAATTTTTCCAAGACGCATTTTCATAGGGTTTACAAAAAAGTCACAGCTCTCCGAAAACACAATCGATTTCATTGTTCAAGGTACCAACCTGTAGATATAAGTGAATGGGAAACATGTTTTGCTTTCACATTATTATTATGTAAAAATCAATAATTACGTCACAATTACGACACAAACACAAACTTTACGATTTTTCACATTTCCGCACGTTTTGACATTGCCTGTGTTTAAAAATGTTCTTCTCCAGAACGGCATATAGTAAAATCATGTTCGATATATCGTATCAAAGCCCACACTTCGGACTACCTAAACCCTTCAAGGCATGTCGACATCTTGAATAGTGTCGGAGTTATTGCCCTTAGAAAGTTGGGCAATGTTGTCAAAACGCATTTTTAAAGGGTTCACAGCTCTGCGAAAACACAATGGACTTCATTTTTCATGTACCAAACTGTAGATAATGGAATGGGGAACATGTTTGCTTCAAATTATTGTTATGTAAAAGTAAATAATTACGCCACAATTACGCCACAAGCAGGGAGGGACGTTAGGATTTTCGCATTTTGATACAGAGAAGATAAGCATGACTGAAATGACAAGACTGAGTTGAGTTGAATTGAGTTGAGTTGGGCTTTACGTCACATCGAGTAGTATACAGAATGGAGGTTCTGTTACAGGCCAACTGAGCGTCATTATATGCCAATTCTGCTCCCAGACCCAAGTATAAATTAACGATTTCGAGCAGAGGCATCATTCGATGCACACCTCAGACCCCCCGACATGCGCTTTAGACTCGCTGACTTGGTTAACACATGTCATCGTATCCCAGTTGCATAGATCGATGCTCATGCTGTTGATTACTGGATTGTCTGGTCCAGTCTCGATTTTCTACAGGCCATATAGCTGGAAACTTGCTAAATGTTGCATTAAACAGCAAACCAACCCAACAACCAAGCATTTATTTTCAAGACTGAGCAAAGAAGTCAGTTGTTGCAATATTCAATGGACGCTAAGCTTCTAGTAGACAATGTAGAAAAATCCGTCTTTTAACTTCCAATTGAAAATACACGATAAACATAGGATTTATCGTTTGCAGTATCATTGTTTTGTAACGAGTCAATGTAGGTTAGTTTTGTCTGCCATACCTTCCAAATTCTTTACTCACCTTTACTTTCCAGACATTTGCATTTTGCAGTAAATATGTGCGGTGGGGTAGCCTAGCGGTTAAAGTGTCTGCTCGTCAAGCCAAAGACCCGAGTTCGAATCCCAACATGGGTGCAATGTGTGAAGCCCATTTGTGGTGTCCCCTACCGAGATTTTGTTGGGATATTGCGACGTGAAACCAAACTCAGTCAGTCAGTCACTCACTCACTCTGTATCTTGCAACATTTAAAGTCAGTGCCGTATTTTAGCATGCAAGTGCAAAATATTACCTTGTGGTGTTGTGTTGAATAACTCGGTAACCTTTTCTACTTGTTTCAACAGTCTGACTTTATTCTGTAGTTTCTCTTGTCAGTCTGGAAGCACAATATTAGAACCGATTTAAAACAAAACCACGAAAATGTTTAATTATTTCATCAGAAAGCTCCAGTAAAAAAATGAAGGCAAGTACTGTGTAAAGATAGCGTTGTATGAGTACTTGCTAGTTTTATATGTTAATCTGTGATATTCTAGTTACTGCACTGTTCTATTTTGACATATATAGATCATCCGAGTTTGTTAAGATATAGCTTTCACAGTCATGACATGACTGGAACAATGCCAATCTGAACTCACGTGGGTGAAGCCCTTTCCTGGTATCCCTTGACGTGATATTGCTGGAATATTGCCAAAACCGGACTAAAACTAAACTCACTCACTCACCCCGGAGAATATTATCATATTTTTCGTCTAGAGTTACACTCGTCTCAAATACGCGCTAATTTTAAAAGCAATTTCCCTTGAAACAATCACCAGAACACACAATACGGGTTCATAGATGGAATGGCATTTGGCATCAGTTTTGCTTCTGATACGTCAAATTTGGAAGTTTCTAATGCATGTCCACCATGAATTATCTTCACGCTTGTCAGCAAGAAGGTGATGGCTGAAGGTAATATCTAAGCATGTGAAAGCAATTCGTAATTAAACACATAAGTGACTAGAATTACGTCCGACTCAATTCCTTAATTTTGACATGTACCACATGTTCTCGTGTTTTTAAAAAAAATACGTGAATGTAACAATGGACTTACCTGTGCATGTGAATGTACTGGGCTGAGCTGAACGCTCACCTTATACACCTGGTTTAATCACTTTTTGATGCTGATTCTTAAACAAACTGTTAATGCTTAATGTTTACAAATCATCAATTTATCCGCTCACGAATCCAGTAGTGTAATTGTGACATAAGCATTGAGTCGGAAAGTAAGGCCTTTCATAAAACATTAGCATCGAACCTACATTCTGACGTTTTGTGCAATGAAATTCATCATAAACACGCACGATAAGGGACACACTTTGTTTGACCACTCCTGGCCTTAAAGCACCGGGTTTCTTGCAGATGGTCGGGACAGGGAACCTGGAATATGAAAGAATGGGTTTGATGTCCATATGAACAGTTGGATATATGTGGGAGTGGATTAATGACCTGTACAAGTGAACGAGCATTGTCTTAATGTTGTAGGGGGGAGTTGAGACATAGAAGACAGAAACATCAACTACCCTCTGCTCCTCCTCCTCCTCCTCCTCATGGCTCTTCCCCCTACAACATCTGATCCCCTTAACCAATTCAGAATTTGAAACGACTTTTAGCATGTCAACATCCTTGATGTATTTTATGTGCGGTGTTGAATGTCAAACATGAGGCCCAGGCTTTCTCTACATCCTTGACAAGATAATCCTTGTGTTTGAATCCTTACTATGTATTGCTTTATAATTGGTGTTGTTTGGTGTTCATA